CGACTTCATACCAGTAATTTTAGTTACAATAAGAAACTAAAGCAACAAAGCAGCTTCCAAAAAGTATCTTGCCAAAAATATCTATGTACCTGTTTTTAATACAGATTTTGATTGTAGGTTTTTCATACACTTGTGTTTCTCATTGTATCTCAGTGGAAGTCAGTCTGTTAAATAACAGCATTTGGAAAGAAAATAATGCTGCCTTCTCAGAAGGATTCACACTGTAATCTCCTAGCTTTATTAATATTGAAAATCTTGTAATAATTCAGCTTGGAAGGACATATGGGATCATCTCATCATCCAGTCAAATGATGACCAGAGCAGCAACAAATTTGAGGCTGGCTCTTATTTCAAGGTCAGATAAATTTCCTGGGGCCTTGTCCACTTCAGCTCTGAGTATCTCCAAAACCAGAGATTTCAGAGTCTCTCAAAGCAATTTGTTTAATTGCTGATTATCATCACTGAGAAAAAGCCTTTTTTATTTTGGCATAAAACATTCTGATATCTACTGGCCACTAAAAAAATATTACTAAAAAAGAGCAAAATACAAGTTTTCTACACAAGTCATATTTTCACAACAAACTTACTAACAGATATTGAGCATACAGAATTACAAGTCTGAAAGAGAGGATGGCTTAAGCACAAAATTGTGAAACATACTTTATGCAAGGGAAGGATTTATATTATGTGATGCCTAAAATTGCATTTGGTGACCTGGCAGGTACTTCTAGGCCTGTCTTTGAGGAAAGACCTTAAAAGATCCTCAGATTACTTCTTTATCCTTATTCTCTAACTTGTTCCAAATGGATTTAAAAGTTGTTTTTCTAAATGCCTGACTGTCACTGTAATGAATTTATCAAGCTCATTATTCAGTGGTAATGCTCTCAACTTCATGGTTCTTAGAACCATACCTTAAATGTTATCAAGGGTCAGTTTATTCCCATGTTACAAGAAAAAAAATCAGTGGAAGGCCATGTACTCTTATACATGTCCACCTCACACTCTGGGACAATGGGCCCTTCTAGTGCCACAGTAATTTCCTGCTGAAGGCATGTTCCTACTGTTTGTTTTGATTTGAATAGTTGAACAGCATCGTCAGCCTTTCACAGGGTTAATGGTTGGCCAGGCAATTTTGGCCTCTTGTGAGATCCACTCAAATGCACAAATGGATTCTATGGCTTCCGTGCTGAGAAAACACATTTACTTCAAAAGGCACAGCAGTAGCCTGGTCTCAATAAAAATAATATTTAAAATCCACTCTTAAAACATAACTCCAAGTTGCAGCTGAATGTGAAATATCCATTTCCAGGCAATTACACACAATTTCTACCATGCTTTGGAAGACATGTATATGCACCAGGAATAATAAAAGCCAAACTCCCCATGGCTCCGAGTGATCGAAACAGGAAAAGACTTAAAATTTCCAAAATATGCAGAAATGCAGTGAGCCTTGTAACTTCACAGCAGGCCTCTGGTCACAGAACAGAGGAACCCTTGGCCTTATGTGTTGTAGAAGAACTGCTTCAATCCCAAACTTGTCATCCTAGGAATAACATGATTAATTCTCATGGGTTTCTTACATACATGAAGAATGAAAGGACAATTAAGCTTGGAGCAAAACCTGATTCTTACAGTCCATCACATAATCTCTTTTGCCTCCAGAGCTGAAACAGGCCTTAGAAAAATATTGGTATTTGCAGGAAATACAGAGAGTACAGATAAAGGCAAACTCACTTAAATCTTAATATTACAGGTACTTGTGCTTACAATGCAGGAAGAGCTTTCAGTTTAACCTGCTTCACAGCTGGGATGCAGGAAAATTTTCACAGCTAAAATGAATATGTGTGTTTAAGGCCTTCTGACATGATTATTAAGGCAGGTTCCACTGAAACACTTATTCACAGGATGCAGTCCTTACTTTGGAAATGAAGGTTTCCAGTGGAGAGTTCCCATTTAAAATGTTCCTGTCTCACAGCAGGACTTAAAGATACATTTATCATTCACATTCCAAATCAGAATAATTGTTTATGGTCAAGTTCTCAAACAACAGAGAATACTGAGCTAACAGAAAGATAACATTCTCTTTATGTGTGCAAATGTAATCCTAATTAATATGTTCCTTGGAGTAACAGAGAAGAATGAGTAGGATGCTTTAACACCAGTTTTATTTACCTTATTGATCAGGACTCCAAAGTCTGCAATTGCAAACAAGAGTGGTATGAAAAAACCCAGCAAAACCAATTTTGCTGTAGAGATTTGTTCTTTTTATTTCTCCTCAAAATGCATTTATCTTTCATGCAGTCCATCTGGATTTATAACAGCTCTGCTCATGCCACAAGCCTTCTTTTCTATTTTGGAAACTAACTTCTATGGAAGTTTTCTGTGTATTTTAACTGAGAGGAGTGAGAACAAAGGTTTTTGTCTGAAAGTGTAGTAGTTTGATCAGAGAACTACAGTGAGATGTAAATTTGGTTATGAATTATCATCTAGATAGAGGAAGGCAAATCTGTGCTCAGGGAGAAGCTGCTCGCACTGGGTGACATTTAAGTATCATTAGATCCCTTTTGAAAATGTTCTTTATACATAGAATGGGAAGCAAAATTGCTGCTGGGAAGATAGATCATCTACTAGCAAGGACTAGCATCAGCAGTCTATCCCCCTATCTCCTCACATTTTTTGTTCCACTAAATCATAAAACAGATGATGACCTGCTTGAGAAGTGAAGCATCAACCAGTTGTTAGTTTCCTGAGCAAAAATAATTTGTGTTTCCCTTTGCACATTGTCTTCTAAGAGGCAGCTGCAGTGACTGTGAATCTAACATCATTCTCTGTGTTGACTTTGGGTTACTGAGAATCTTTGCCTTACTTTACCTCCCAACTCAAATACATTCATTTTACAGAGAGATTGCATGGAAAGAATGGAGTTGAATGGCTGGAACACATTGTGGAAGAATGGTTTATATTCATTTTGTTACAGCATCATTCCTTATGGAAACAGGGGGTGGGGAAACCAATCATTCCAAAAAAACCACCACTTCTTTCTGTGGAGAACATGCCAAAACATGTTTCAGTAAGAGCTACTAAATTTACAACAGAAGTTCTATATGAGAATAGATGCAAAGCTTATTATGATTTATGCAAACTCTGATATTGCACTTTGGAGCAGATACCTGTTTGTTGACTGAAAGTACAGCACTTTTCTAGTTCTATTTGGCTGCTGAGAAACTTCATTAGTCCCTGTTAATCTGTAGTGTGATACCTCCCAATCTGTTAACTGGGGTGGGATAGAGAAGATGAGAGGCTCAGTCATCACCTAACAGAAATGTTCATTCCTTTTTTATTCAAACAATCATTTACTTACAACAGATCACTAAAAGAACTAACTTTGCACTCCAGTTTTAGGAAAGCTGGTGAAACAAAACCAACTTCGAGGTGCTGCATGAACAAATAGCATGGGAAGGGGGTTTCATGTTTTATAACCCTGTGCACCAGAATTCATAATGCATGGTGACTTAACAACTTTCCCTGCAGGTAAATTCCTGCTCAAGCTATCCAGGAAGGCTCACATGACACATGTATAATTTATGGAAGATCAATATTTAATCAGTCATTAATAATGCTCTAAAATGATTTAAGAATGTCTTTACATCCAAAAACTGAAAATACCAATTCTTTTTAGTCACAATCTCCCATGCAGATACGAAGCCTCATCACACAGGCTGGAACTTTTCTTCCCTAGTAATACAAGATGGGTGTAGTAACCCAGACTTAAATTGAAGTGTCACTGCATATTTATGTCACTTTAAAAGCCCACAGGGAACTTAAGACAAGATCCGATGTTGCTTTCATCTCACATCATTGCTTAGTTGCTTGTAAACAGTGGAAAAGCTGGGTTTAGTATCTGCTGTTTAATCAAACGTGTTTTAATTTAGAAAGTTTTGTCCAGAACAAGAAGCTGCCTGTGCAAGGGTTTCAGCATGGATATGTGAGCAAAGGCTGTGTGTTCTGCATGCTCAGTGCAGGGTCTGCAGGAAATCCAATTTTCAGCAGGATTGACAATGGAGCCATTCAGCCCCCTGAGCTCTCAGCCTCAGTGTCTCAGCACACTGCACACACAGGGATACCCAGTCTAAGACAAAGTGAATTCATGATTATAAAATGCTTTCAGTCTTCCTCCTGCTTTCACTTCCTTAAAAGACTAAACAAAATTAGATTGCCTGGAGAAAAAGAATGAAAAAGTGACCTATTTTATACATGATTCATCTCTGTGCACATACTCAGCTCACTAGGTACACGTTGCTTATAAACATTTCAACTCAAATTTTAAGGTAGGTTTACAATTACAGGGAAGTTTTGGACTGTTGTGGCACAGAGGTCAGTTTTGTTCAGAAAAACCTGCAAATTAATTAGTCTGCATCATTGCTCCAGGAAGATTCATCCTCCTTCTATAATTTTGTTATATCATGTTGTGTAACACTGTAATATCCAATCCAGTGACAGTCTCCAAGTCAAACACATTGAAAAATGCCTGAATTGCTGGCAGAACACAAGAATCCTGCTTAGTTCTAATCCAACTTATTCTTTCAAAATCCTTTAACAGTAAGGCAGCTCAGGGTATCAGCCTGTCATGTGTGACCTGCCCAGCATGGAACTCTTAAACCATGGAGACAGAACAAGAACACTACATGGACAAAATAATGATTTATTGGAAATAGTCACACAAGGTGTAAATGCATCATTTCAATTGTTTATTTTTTACAACATAAAGCTACTCCATTACCAGACTTATTCAGAAACAGGATTCGATTTAGGAAAAATGCTGAATATTTTAAATCCCTGAGAATGGTGTCCTGTCATTCCTTTATGCACTCCCTGTCCCTCCTCCCCCCACCCCACTCCCAGAAAATTTAATTTCCTGCTCAGTTAAGCTTTTAGTGTGTCACCATCCCTTCTTTATATCAGCATATTTATTTTTTTATATTATATAAATTTTATATATTTAAAAATGCAAGCAAGCCCAAGCTCCACATCAAGCTCATCCACATTCAGTGGCAGGCACCCAGTTTAAAATTACCTCCAGTTTCAAGTTGGTGTCCAAGCTGCTTTATAGATAAGGCTACTGACTCTGGAGATAAAACTTGTTCCTCTTAAATCAGACATGCAAGAAGTCACCTCCTTTTTCTTCTAGCTGGACACAAATAAAAGTTTTTACATTTCATGCAGAAATATGGAGCTGTGAATGCAAAGCTTTAGGCTTGATCTTTTTACAGCTGGATTTAAGGGAGCTTAGCATCACAGACTTCCTATTGCACATTTCTAGTAATTTACCTCATTCCTCAGCCTTTTTTAGGTTTATATCAGGCAGAGAGTTTAAGAATGACAAACTTGGGTAGCAAAAGCAGATCCAGGCATAACCCATGCAGATAATCTGAAGTCCAAGTTCAGACATTTTTCTGGTAAGATTGTTGTCTCTTGTGCAAGGACGTAACACATCCAGCACAGAACTCCTCTAGCTGATACCTGACAACCAGCATAAACAAAGCATGGGAAACAAGGTAAAACTTGAGTATTTTCAAAAGCTGCAGCTGATATTGGTGCTACTTTGCCAGTGGCCAGCTCTTCAGTCGAAAAAAAATGTAATAAAACTCAAGGCATAACTCAAACTAAAATAAAATTCTTTCCAATATTAGAGGTAGATTTTATCCAGTGTAATATATAACATTTGCTCCTGTAACAGCAGAGATCTAGGAATTAAATGGTTCAAATCAATTTCAACACCCATGTGTCTTAGAATAATTAAGGCAAGCTTTTTGTATATCCTTCAAGAAAGCAGGCACACCACTCTGTAAAGAGAAAGGCAGAAAAGTTATTCTTGCATAATGAAACCAATAAAAACTATAAGCAAAATGAGTATTCCCTTTATATAGATCAAGGACATCAAACAGATACAGTTCTAAGATCCAATATCCAATTGTCTAAGATAAATTCTAAGATCTGGTACATAGCATCAAGCCATTCTTTGAATATTTTGGGAATAAACTGCATTACTGAAGTTTGCTTGTCTTGAGGCTATTCATATATTCTCTGAAACACAGATTATTTGGGGTTTGCTGCAGAAATTTACCTGCCTGGTTGAAAAACCAAAGGAATTTGACAGGAATTAAAATAAGTAAATTAATTAAGACCATTGTCATGAGAGCATACAATAGTGAGACAGAAAATATGGCACTGTGTAAAAGCTAGGAACACTGATATATCTGTTCCAGAAAAAAAAATTCTGCCCAAAACATAGAAGATGGGTATGACTGCAGTGAATTCATTGCTTGAAACAGATTAGCCAAAGATCATTATCCGCATCCTTTCCTTACCTTGGCAGCCCAGTTGACCAGCCAGGTTGGAATCATGCCACCAGGATTATCAAAATAGTACATGTAGACTAGAGAGGAGAGAGAAGTTACCTACCAGTGACCTGAGCCAGCTCTAACACACTGTGGCAGAAGCTGTCAGTGCATCCTGAAGCACCAACTACAACAGCTCTACTCTCAATTCTGCACAAAAAATCCAACTGGTCCTGAAGTGAAAGGTGAAGTAAATACAGGCATTCCCTGTTAACCTCTGGGAAGCTGACAGAGCCACAACAGGCATTTCGATTACTGTAAACCATTTTTGGCACCCTGTCTTATAAAATAAGACTGTCTTTAAAAGTCTCATCTCAGACAGAAGTCAAGCTCTAGGCAAACCCTTTAATCTACACATCTGTCAAACACAATACTTGAATCATTGCTGAGTTAAGAAAATTGCAGCAGTGTCTCCCCAGCTGAACTGTCTGGCAGGAAAAGCAGCACAGACTGGGGCTGGGATGGGAAGGCAGAAGGAAGTGGTCAGTGGACTATTCTTAACCACCCAGCCCAACTGCTACATAAAAAGATTCTTCACACTAGTGCACTGCACTGGACATTTCCAAAGGTTTCCTCCATTTTAAAGTAAACCTTGGCTTAACATTTCCAGTCCCCCTCTTTGTGTGTTTTGCCAATATATACACTCCCTGCCTACACGACTTGCCACACATTTTCTTGACCTCTTACCTTTACTTCCAGCCTTGCCATCACTTTCAATTACCAGGCTTTGTTTATAGCTCTTAACTCTGATAATACCAGGCTTCTCAGGGCACTGAGGAACAGCCACACTTTTTGCCAACACAACCCAGATCTTCCTCCCCTGCACATCCATCTCCCGGCTCTCCCGGATATAGACATACTGCACTGCAAGTTGAGGAGCCACGTCAAAACAATGTCACTTTGAGGGATGAGGAGCTGACAAGCGAGTTCCATCACAAACAGCCCCTCCTTTGAGTTATTTCTCGTGTCCCTACAGGATTCAATCCTGCAGAGCAGTAATTCAGCTGTGGGAGCTCTAGCTCTGTGTGGGAAGAGGCGCCCACGCTCCTCTTCATGCCACATATATTCATGCAACACAGGGAGTGCAAGATCTTAGATCAGTGCAGCCCAGTGATGGAATCAGTTCATTGCTGGGATTCCTGGATGACCAAGTGGCAGAAACTGCAAGAGGAACAAAAACTTGAAAGGATACATCTCTGTTTGAGAGAGGAAAAGGGTACTTCACTTCCCAGTAGATTACTTTCTCACCATCATATGTTTCCTCATACAGTTCTACGGTTGAAAAAAGAAGACTGTTAGATATTTTTAATTTCTACTGCAACAGAAATATAGATGGGATCAAGAACTGCTCAGATTTCTGACATGAACACATTTTACATGCAACCCTGATGTCAAAATTGACAGGTATGTAGGATTTTAGCAGTAAGAAACATTAAGATGTTCTGTACCAGGATTGTTCAGGAATCAAATACACAAAAATAGGTGGCCTGTTTTTCTTTGGCTATTGGATTAATTGGTGGGAAAAAAAAAACCAAAACCAAAAAAATCCAGAAATCACAGCCCATAAAATGAGAACAATTCTGAGGGCAACAGAGCCAAATTCCTTTTCCAACAGTTTTCTCATTCAAAGCTTTTCCATCTCAAAGCTTTTTCCTCACCTGTGCATGTTCTGCATAAATCTAAGTCACAAGTACAATGTGCTTTTTCACAGGCATGTCATCACCCTTGTAAATTATACTGAATTAACATGGAACTAGGATGAGTGCAGCTTTCTAACACCTGAAGACGTCTTACATGGGGATTAATGAATTTTGGAAAAGCTGTCAGGAATTTCACAGCAGTACATACATGCAACAGCAAACTAGAATCCTGAGCAGTTCATGAGCCTTCATTACACCACCTTCAGTCTGCCTGGAAACTCAAATCAGAAGGCAGCAGAATATGAAAAAAAGTAACCTAAGAATAGTGCCTAAAACATGGCAGTGACTCAGTTGGAGAGTAGTCGTCTGAAGGAGAAAAATTAGTTCTAATCAAACCACACAATCGAGTTTGAAAACCTGTCTACAGCACAGCTTCCTTCCCGGAGGCAGCAATGGAACCTGATGAGCCCTGGGGCTGAGCCAGGGTGAGCTGCTGCTGGCCCAGGGTCTGCAGTAAAGAACAGTGGGATCCAGAAAGGTGCTTCACCTTCACAGCCACAGTGGCCTCTTCTTCCTTTACAGCAGACTTGTGTCTGAGGTGCTCTATATCCTCCAGAGCCAGGTTTTTGAAAGTGAGGCCAGAATAAACCAATAATCTCACTGACAAGGCAAGAACAGTGCCCCACATGGGAGATTCTTTCCCTATATAATATATTCCAAACCAGGATTCTGTTGGCATGCCCTGCAGATCAGCTGTCACCCACAGAAACAGCCTCTCCTTTTCTCCAGCTGGAGCAGCACTGGACGCACCTGGTGTTGTAATAACCCACAACATTTATGTTTTCCACCAGAGGTCACTGGAGCATTGGATTATTCACTCCTAACCACAGAGATCTCCTTTTACAAAAGCACCATGACACTGTTTTAAAGACTCCAATTACTCTTATTAGCTACCTCATTTACCTGTGTATCTTTGCAAACACAGGAAAAAAACCACAATACATAAACCACATCCCACCTGCATTCACTTCAAACCAGAACACAGTGCATTTTAATAATAATCTGATTTCATTTAGCACCACTACAAGAGATCACAAGTCTGTTCCATCCATAATAGGGACAGCAGCACTTACTGCTTCAGCAGTCAGTTATCACTGTGAAACTGTTGGGAAGTCTGATCTCAGTCAGGAAGGTGCTGCAATCAGGACCAGCCAGTTTCAGTATTGCTCAGGCCCAACCATTTTGCACCATGCCACAGCAGCACGTGGTACCTCAGTCACAACTTCCCTGCTGAGCTGGCAGCTGCAGCACAAACCAGGCCCCAGGGTGTCCACATGTCGTGGATATTCAGGAGCATGCAGAAGAAGCAGTTGCCTTTTCAGCTAAAAAGGCAGCTCCTTCTGCTCTGATCAGGTTTTTATTTCAATGTTCAGCAGAGAATTCTCCTTTGGACTGCCACTTGCATGGCTGTAAGAGCACCAAGGAATAAAAACAGTAACACCACGAGCAAGAAGGCTCTCAATGGAAGTTTTCTGGGGTTTCTTCCCAAATGTGAAAGAAAAAACCCAGGCTGAACTGGGGTTACATTTAAAACATTGGCTAGCACTTTCATCATATGTACCATCCTAAAAAACAGGTGGGCTTGTGTCAATTTTTAAGTAGGAAGGAAAGCATTACGTTATATTTAAGCCCTCTAAGAGTTAATTTCTGTGAAATGCTGGACTTAAAGCACCAGCACAAGTATAAATTAAGAGATGAACAAACCATGGTCAGCAAGGATACAAATGTCAGCTCTGCAACATTATCTAGTTTTTAGTTTAAGGGTGTAGCTTCCCCCAGCAGCTTCCTTTCTTTTCTCTATGAAGGAATTAAAAAAAAAAAAAAGTGTTTATTTAAGAAGCATTCATTTCTCCTAAATGCACTTAAAGACTGCTGAAGTAACTCAACAGAGTATTTTTACATCCAATACAATAAAGCTGAGTCCCACTCTGACTCTTTGTTTCATTAATGGCAAAATGGCTTTTGCTACAAGAAAGCTACTGAGCATTTTGACAATTAACACTTCTTAATGAAGACACTACTCCTTAAATTTGCCCAAGACTGACATGAGTTAAATTTATGGGTCTCTGTATCAATGCAGCCACTGGCATTATCAGCAATCATTCACCCTGGAGCTGTTCTAAACCTTACAAGCACAACATTTAACAAGTCTTTGGTTTTTAACACTGCTCTTTGCTCAGCAAAACACTCAGACCACTTTTCAGTTTTACTGGCCTGCTCTGACTTCAAGCACAGGCTTAAAAAGAAAATGCTCCCCATCTTTAAAATAAATGGATTACTAGATACCTACATCAGCTGCACCCTTACCTTGTTACTGCTGACTTAGGATGTTTTAGCACCATATGGATATCCAGGTTTAATGCCCCTTTTCAAAGACAACATTAAATAAACTTAACTAAATTAGTTATTCCTTTCTCTGTAAAAGCCATACACTCTCGATACACCCATTCCTTTCTGTAAAAGGTGCCAAGAACAACCCATGCTTTCAGGAAAAGATATTCCACCATTCGTCAAACTGGTGGAAGCCCGAGGAAAAATTTTCATAAAGACATTAGCCTTTGAAATAATCTCCCCAAGGACAAATTTTAAGACTCAGCTGAAGAGGGTGCGAGGCCATTTTGTCTTGACTGTGCTCTCACCAAGGAAGTTTGGACCAGATGATCCCAGAAGTCCCTTCCAACCTGCAATTCCATGATGCACTGCTCCCCTGCCCTGTGCAAAGATGCACAGAAGGTACCAGCCCATTTCTCCCCAAGACATCTACTAAAATTTAACCTAAGCATTACAAGAAGAAGTTACAAGAGCTCCAGCATAACCAGCGATGCCAATCATATGCTTTAACCAACAGGGAAAGAATTCATTCCAGAGGAAAGAGAAATACTGTTGAGACATTAGAGATTCCATATCAGTGTTTACTTGTGTATTTGCAGAGTGCAACCTTATCCCAAAAGATATTTAAGTCTGACCCAAAGTCTTTGGAGACAGTAACTTTGAAATACCTTTGAAGAAAGTTTTAGTGGGAACAATCAATGTGGATTCCAGCTTGCTTTTACACTGCCTAGATGAGCTTACCTTTAACATACTGATCCCACTTTTTTCTGAAATCCAAGTCCATGTAGACATCTGCACACAATTTTGGGGGAATGTCAGCAAGACCACCAAAGATTTTATATTCATAAAGTCCTGATTGCTGTGGAAACAGAATGAAGAGAGGAAAAGTCACACAGGAAAGGGAAGTACTCTGCATCAGGGAGAACAGCTCAAGGAAGTTAGGTGGGGCACAAATTACAAATATGCTCAAGAGCTGTGAAAGCAAGTGCTCAGAAAACAAGATTCAGTCTTTAACCTCTCGACTTTTTGATCTATACATGAAAGTGTAAATGCAGCCAGGCTGACCTGCCCTGCACAATGGCTGTTCCTTCCCTTACACCAGTGCCCTTTTACTTCATCAGGAGTTCCAGAGGGAGCATGCTTCTTCACAAACACAGCCCCCTCTTCAGCTCCAGTGGTCAGTGTGGACTGAATCCTGCCCACACTGAGGTTTACCAGAAGCATTAAATTCTTGCGGCAAGTTAGTTCTGCTTACACATCGGGCTGGGATACAAGAATGCTTTACAATGTCCATGCTTACATACAGTGCACTCATATCTGCCTTGAATATTTATCAGCTATTTTCTTTCAGAAAGCTGTATGCACTGAAGGGGTGGGGTGCAGGATATCTCCTGTTTAATGTCACTTTCAACATATGGTAATTCCATCTGTGCCTATGGAGCAATGTTTGTACCATTGTTAGTACGAGTTCGGGACTACTTTAAAACAATGACAGTTCAGGACTAAATTAAAAGAATGAGAGTATTTCAAATATATAGTGTAGAAATCAAATCAAAGCATTCCCAAGGAAAGGAAAAGAAGGCTTATACAACATTCTTTTCTTCTTTACCTGGCCTTCACAAATCAACTCCAGAAGATGAGGATTTGAAGTACCAGAAAACAGTGATGTGAGCAAGAAGCTTAAGCTACTCATCTTCACTGTGGCTTCACTGAAGCACCAATCACCAGCTTCAAACCTGAACTATTCAGCATCTGTGTAACCCCACGCACTCATCATCTTTCTAAGAGGCATCAACATTTTTATTCTCACAAGAAAACCAGCAATTTACAGTAAGAAGGTTAAAACAAGAGTGAAACGTTTCCATTTTTCTGAGGCATGTCATCAGGAGAGTCAATCAGCTTGGCTGGAATGCAGCACTGAGCAGGAAAGCCCAGATCTATTTCTGCAGCCTGCAGAGAAGGTGGAAAGACAAGGCAAAAAGAGAAGGCAACAGGAAGAATAATTGCTGCTTTCAGCTTCCTGGAGTACTGTTGCTGCAGGGGAATTGCAGTTCAGTAAGTTCTAAAAGCTAATTTTCCCAGTAACAACTTTAAACAAAGACTCTACTTCTAGACTTCATCTTCTCTTGCAGCAATCTGAAGCAACTGAAAGACAAAACAGTAGATTTATTTCCTAGAAGAGTCACAAGATTGGACAAGAGTCCCAAGATTGGACTTGAAAAGGTCCCTCACATCCTACGCAGTCTGTCCATCCAGCCCAAACTGGGGGCATTGTACACTACATTAAAAATGACAGACACCTGTAAATAGGTTTTTTTAGTTTCAAATAGTCCTTTTATCTCTACAGTCCCTGTGCATAAAAGCACAAAAGGATGAGGAGGAGAAGCCTGAGCTGCATTCATACAATAGCAGCACAGCCACTGCAGTGAGCCAGGGCTTCCCTGCTCCCATGAGCCTGGCCAAATCCAGCCTCCCAAAGTTCCTTTGCCTTCATCCACGGCACAATGCATTTACAGCTCTGGGTTGAGCTCTAATCCTAAAGCCTGTACTTCATCCACTCCAGCAGGAACACCCCCAGCACCCTGAACTCCAGCAACTCACTGATCCTTGCATGGGTACCTGGCAGGCACCCCAGTCTCACCCAGCTGTGTGCGCTGACTGATAAGCTCCTCTTGCCATCGCCAGTCACCACATCCACACTGTCAACACGGACTATTTATCACTGAAGAAAATTCCAAGGCCTACGAAGTGATGTTTTTTTTAAAGAGGCTTTCCCCAACCCATTGTGACTTTAGCACAGCCCTGTATGCTTTCTGGTTTTTTCTAACATTACCATGTCAGAAATAATTTCTCAGAATACAAATACAAAATTGTCGTGCAAAGAACAGCATGAAGTCCAGAGGGAGCTGAGAGGAAACTATGATCGCTCAGTTAAAAACCAGAATATTTATACATATATTTAAATATGGATTTAGAAGTCAGTATTGAATAGTAAATCTTTGTCAGAATGAAAACACTGTCAATTACAAGTCAGTTCCTAAACCATGGAAGTTCTTTAAAGAAGTTAGTCACCCCAAAAGGGAAGAATTTCATTCCAACCCTTTCTGAACTACCTCCTGATTTTAGAGGGCAAAGGGTGGGAAATCAGTGTGGTCTGGAGAGAGGCAGGAAGGGGGGCGGGCTCCTGGAGAGAGGATGCTGTGACACGGGCGGGGCTCGGGATGTTCGGGGACACGCTCCCCTGAGCACAACCCTGTCCGAGGGGGCTCGGGAGGGTGGCACACGGAACCCCCGGAATTCCCCAGCTCGCTTCCGCGGGGTCACTGCGGCCCAGCAGCTTTCTCATCAGCACTTAATGGCATTACCCGGAAAGCGGCTTTCTGCGAGCCTGAAGAAACCGAGCCCAGGCCTGTGCGGGGAACCCGCGGCTGCGGGCCGGGTCGTGCGGGAACCGCATCCCGGTCACCACCGCACCCCTGCCATCCACCGCCCCCATCTTCGCCACCACCGCCCCGGCATCCCTGCCACCCACCGCCCCCCGGCCGCCCCGGGCCGGCAGCCGGAGCCCGCCCACCTGGTGGTACAGCCGGTAGATCCGCACGCCCATGGTCTCCACCAGGAGCTGCCAGGGCCCCGCCGCGGCCGGCGCCGGCTGGTCCAGCTCCCGGCAGGCGGCCCCAAACTGCTCCTCCGAGAAGCCCCGCGACAGCGCCTCCTGCGCCTCCGGCGGCGCCGCCATCCCCACCGCTGCCTCCAGCTCCGGCGGCGCCGCCATCCCCACCGCTGCCTCCAGCTCTGGCGGCGCCGCCATCCCCGGCCGGGCGGGCGGCCGGGCGGGCTCAAGCCCCGGCCGGGCACTGCCCCCGTCCGGCCCGCCCCGCTCCGCCCCGGGGCCGGGCCCGCCGAGCCTGCGGGGCCGGGGGAGCGGGCCCGGGGCTCCCGGCCGGTTCTCGGGACGTCCCTGCCCTGCAGGTGCGCTCCGTGCCCACTCGGGTTAGGCGCGGTCTCCGTGGTGCTGCCTCTGAGTGTGTGTGACATCAGCCAGGTCCCAGAACCGGGACAGGTCCGTGGGTGCGCTGGTCAGGGCCTTCCCTTCCTGGGTATTCCCCAAGGACACAGATCGAACACTATGGGCACATGTATTTTTGTATGTCTTCACGTTTTGACAGGCAGTTTTCCTTATGGGCTGTACATACGAGAGTATGATATAAAGAACCCAAACTGCTGTACAGCTGCTTGGCAGGTGAGCGTGGCCCTGGCCCACCCAGCGAGGCCCAGCCAGCCTGGCAGGGAGGAAAGGCAGCAGGCTCTGCCCATGGCAAACTGGGCTGCACTGGGCTGCACTGGGGTAGGCAGGATGGAAAGAGACAAAAAACTTTCACTGGGATGAGCTCCCGGGCAGGAGGAATCCGCTGCCAGGGACACATTTTGCATCTTGCTCAGGCTCTGCAGTGACACCACCTATCACACTCAGCCAAGCATTAAAGCTTTGAAAATGTGACTATGGCAGGTTTTCTCCCAGAAGTTGTAAATCTGTTTTCATTACAGCTTTATTCTTCTAATTCCTGTGAGATTTTCCTGCTGAACACTGTGTCTTCAGAATAAAACAAGCAGCTCTGAGCAGTGGGGCATCATCAACCTACTGACTGGCAGCACCAGCCAATGTATTTGGTGGTAACCTCTGTGCAAGGCTGGAATAATGCAGTGTTTCTAGCTTCCCTGCCAAGTGGCTGAGCTCTTTGACAAAGAGTTCACTTATGTCAGCTGTCCTTTCCAGTTCCAGTCAATTGGTTTGCAAGCAGAGCATGAGGATTTCTGGCTGACTGGTTTGGACATACAGGCTGACCCTCATCCTTGAACAGTCCAGAAAACTTTTGGAGAGAGCATTTTGGCAGAAGGCAAGATTGCATCTCACAAATTTCCTCCCAGTATGTAAATTTGATGCCAGAACTTGACCTGTACCATCTTCATAAAATAATGTCAGTAATAATAAATATCTGCTCATATCTTACCTGCTCTCACCTCCCCACTGAGACTGCTTGGCAAACATTTCAGTTCTTTTATTTTTTGTAGTAATCTTATGTGTAGTATTATTACTAATATTTACATAATAGATATAAATATTTTGGCTGATTTTTGGGTTTTTTTCTTTAAACATTACTTTAAATGGCATGCTCTCAGTGAACGCAGTTGGTTCTCCAGATATCAAGGGAATACATTTCTTATGGCTCATCCCTTACGAGTAATTTCTTGGCTAAGCTGACTTGAGTGAAGCTGTGCTGCCCACCCAGCTGAGGAGCTGGTCTTTAAAATGGAATTTGAGGCAATGGCCTGGAGGTGAGACTAATTTAGTTTTTCTTTTTTCTTGCAGAAATATTTCTTTACTTTTGCAAAGCTTTTGTCAGATTTCTGTCTCACTTCTAAGTCCCATTCTTTCTCTGAAATAGGGCTCAGTGAAACTGAAAGAGCTTGTGGCTCTTGTTGGCACAGAGATGACTTTGACCCACTATGAAAAAGGAGGAGTTGTGAGTCAAGAACTGATCATTAACATGCAGCAAGGGCACATGCCTGTGAGATTACCTGATCTCCTTGTTTGTGCAAAAGGACTGAAGGGATCACAGCTCCATGTTGCCTATTATTTTAGGGTCAGTGTTTTGCATTATATGGTTGTCTACATGGCATCAGTAAGTTGGCTTCATCTGCCTGACCACTCCCTGTTTCCCCAGCACTTTCATGGAAAAATAGATTTATCTCACAAGGCCACTCTAGGGACAAAAGCTTTCAAAAAAGGCATTACTATGTGACCTTTTTTTCTTGGTAAATAAGGAGTGGTGATTACTAAGAAAGCACAAGCTGTTCTGAGAGTTTATTTTCTGTTTTCATGTATGTTTACGTAAGTGTTATTATTTATCCCTTGTATTTCCATGTATTGCCCTTAGCTTAGGGATAGAAGGTGAAGTTTGAGCCCAAGTCCTTTAGAATCTTCACTGCTGGGTAGTGGCTGTGGGCTGGGATGAGTTCAGGACTGATTTTGTACTGCTCTGCCCCAGCACTGTGGGCAGCAGCTGTGCTGGGAACAGGAACCCTAAGGCAGCCTGGACACAGCAAAGTCCAGTCCCACACATGGACCAGGGACCCAAATGCCACTGAAGGGAAAATAGAGGGTTACTGTTCTGGGGCAATGAGGGGGAGTTTCAGAAGTGCCCATAACTTGTTCTGCATACTGGGTGGATCTCAGGCTTCAGGGTAGTTACCCTGTGGTGTTGTAGTTAGCAGACCTGGTTTCAGCCAGGCTTTCTGGTATGGGAAGGTTTAGCTTTTATCCCTGGTGGTGTTAAGGACAGGTTGGACTGGGCTTTTAGCACCTGGTCTAGTAGGAGGTGTCCCTGCCCATGGCAAAGGGTTGGAATGAGATGGGATGATCGTTAAGGATCCTTCCAATCCAAACCATTCTGTGATTTTGTGATTCTATTCAACTACTCCTGCTCTGAGTGGGAAATGTACCTCAAGGCAACTTGCTGATTTGGGCTATCAGTGGCATTAATGTACCTAAATCTTCCACCTGTTTTTTAGAATGGAATAAATCTGTATAAATTCCCTGCTAACACCTAACCTTTCTGTTACTGAAATCGGTGCTGGGTAATCCAATGAATTCTGTGGCATGGAACAAAACCAGGAAACTGGACAACTCCTACATCAGAAAATCATATTGGCCAGAATTGAAACCAGCAATGAACACTAGATTGATGTTTCCAGGCCCCAGGTGATTTTCAGTGTTTGTTTTGGATATGGACATCCATATGTGGGAGAATGTTCCCAGCTATATTGTGTTTTCCTCTATCTGTCTCTGTGTGGCACTGGTGCACTTTGAAAAATTCTTGGAGATGAACTAAAGATGTGGGGTTTTGATGAATTCAACTGCTGTGCAGACATTTATATACTACTGTAATTCCAAAAACTTTGCAAAGCTGCTGAATAGTCCTGCCCTACCATTTATACAATTTGTAGATTTGCATTTCTAGTGTACACAGCCAAGGCAATTATAAGCTTCTCCTGCTGTTCTTTATTGACTGCATCATGTAAAAGCCTTTCTCACAAATTGTTTCATGACTTTTACAGTTTCAAGAAGATGATTCTTCATCCAAAAAGCTGAGAAGTAACAACAGCATCTCCCATCACAGCCATGCATGTGTAAGGCAGTCTATATTCTCCTCTCTTGTATGAGTCAAAGGGAAATCTGTTTTTTCAACATTTTTAGAGTACACATAAAATATAGCCTGTCTGCTACATCAAAACCTTTATATATTTTATGTATTCTGTATATGTTTATTTATGTTGATTTATTTATATATATATATATTTTATTCCTAAGTACTTAGGCAGGGAGGGTCACCTAGGATGATTTTTACAGAGAAATAGCACAAAACATGCACTGCTTGAGCTGACATAAATGGCTGTTAAATACTGGTTTATAATGGCCTTCTTCATAGAGTTGAATTTAACCCCAAACTGCGACTGTTTCTGTATGGAGTATCTAGTTTCAACAGTTCCACCCAAATAGAAGAGGATTCAGAGGGTAACTGGAGTTCTGCAGTTTTTCTGCCTTCAGATATGAAGTATTTTTTACCTTTGGTAGATAGTTTATTGAGCTGGACTCCTGGTGTCAGAACCCATCTCTTTCATTTGGCCATATTTGCTTTGATTTCCATCTTGTAGCCACAGTTTCTCTGGAAAATAAGGCACTCCCAGTGCAAATACACTGGAGACAAAGAGGTACAACGTATTTACCTGGTCCTGAGGAAAGAGGGGTAATTTTAAACTTCACTGTAGGAAGGAAGGGATTTCGCCATCACCTGCATGACCTAAAATGACTCATTCAAAAGATAAGACAGCCTGTTTAGATCTTCACTTGGTTTGGTAAATAGTTATCACTACCACACCCTCTACTTTCTTGACTTGTTTACATGGATGTAGAAACACTTCTAAACTTCCTTTAGCAGGTGATGCTAAAGCAGATGATATATATGAAAAACTCTCTTTTGTGGGAACAGTAAGAACTTAATTTGGTCTTACTGCAATTATTCTTTTTTTCCTTTTCTTTTCTTTTTTAACTGCCCTTTAGGTCAGACACTTGACTTACTGTAAATTTCACAGAAGTCATCTATTATGTAAGAGAAAAGCTGTGTATTTTAACTTTGTGCAGTATTTTAGATAGATCTTGTGTGTAAATTTAGTCCTAAGGATTGTAGTGAAGTAGGACACAGAAAGACTCATCAGCCAGGAAGTAATTCAGCCAACGGCCTTTATAGCTTACTTTAGAACTCATAACTTTCTTTCTTTTGTTGGAGAGTCAATAAAAGCTGGCTGAAATGCTCCATGGTCATTAGACAGACCATTTGCAGAGGGAACAGTGTATGCTCTTTATACCCTACCTACTGAGAATGGAAGCAAATGAAATAAAATGTCTCTTGACACTATCCACTAACTTGGACTAGTCACTTTTTCAGCTTTTTGTCTGCATTTCCCTTCATGTCTTTGAGCCCTGTAAATTCTTTGGGTGACTCAGTGCAGGTGGAAAACCAAGAAAAGAAATAATTCCTATTTTGAACTTGAATCTCCGTTGAATCTGCTGCACGCTACTGCAATAGTCTCTAATAAAAATCCTGGTTATGGTGGAATTACAGTGCCTGGAGTTTGCTCCCACGCTTCCCCCAGCTTGGCCAGAAAGCTGCCACGGATCCAGAGGTCTGGCCAAGGATCCAGAGGTTCTGTAAC